CTTGATAAGCTCTGGACGTGTATCAGTCACGTTTTAAAGCAGGACTTTAAAAATGGTTTCACAGAAAATGTTGGTTTGAATTCAGCAGGTGTTCTAAAGCTGGAGTTGAAAGGTTTTACAGGGTTTTTAGGGGGTTATCTAAGTTGTTGTTGTTGTTTTTATATTTTAAGTTTGTATGAGGATACACAGTTTCCCTTTTCTTCATCTGGCCCAGAATCATAGCCCATCTATAATGGTAAAATAAGATGCTGTTATTTAATAAGTGGGAAATATTTTGGTTTTCTTTAACCTTAAAAAAGAGCAGCAATAAATGTTATTATAGTCCCCCAAAATGCCTGAAATTCCTATCCTTTTGACCCTAATAGCTATTTTCTTCTTATTGTTGTCACCTTAATGAGAATTTTCAAGCTGTGTAAATTATATCTTCCCTATTTGCCACTTAAAACCTATGTCTTTATAATAGATGCCCAAAATGATTCTTTATATAAATGACCCATGATTTTTTAAAGTTTCACAAACTCCTGATTTCAGTCATCTTCTTAAAATAAGACCTACCAAATAGTTTTACAAGACCCCCAAGCTTGCTCGTTACTAATTGGTAGCGTCCAGTTCTTCTAGTGCTGAGGAAACCATTGAGCTCTAAATTGATTCATGGTTTTTTTTTAATATTTTATTTAAATTCCAGTTAGCATACAGTGTAATATTAGTTTCAGGCGTACACTATAGTGATTCAACACTTCCATACAACCCCTAGTGGTCATCACAGCAAGTGCGCCCCTTAATCCCCATCACCTATTTCACCCATCCCCCTACCCACCTCCCCTCTGCTAACTGTCAATTTGCTCACTATAGTTAAGAGTCTGTATCTTGGTTTCTGTCTCTCTGTCTCTCGTTTTACCCCTTTGTTGTTTGTTTTGTTTCTTAAAGTACACATATGAGTGAAATTGTATGGTATTTGTCTTTTTCTGACAGACATATTTCGCTTAGCATTATACTCTTAGATTCATCTATATTGCAAATGGCAAGATTCCATTTAATGGCTGAGTAATATTCCAGTGTGTATATATATAACACCACATCTTCTTTTTGCATTCATCAGTCGATGGGCACTTGGGCTGTTTCCATAAGTGACTGAATTATTGAACTGATTAGTGTTTTATATTGGGAAAGTACTCTTCCATATTTAGTAGGAACCTCACTAATCACACTGTCAACACTGTAACTGCCTTAAAAAAAATGGGACCTCAGATGATCCTTTTGGAAACTAGATGTTTATAAATAAGGAAATGGGATTACTTTGTGATATCTTCCTGAGTCTATTTTCTGGCTCCTTCTACTTTGAGGAAGAAAAGGATAAACTTCTAAAATTACAAAACTCCATAGCAATCGCCTGTCAAAAGGATGGCGCACAATAAGGAACAAAATCTACATAAGTAGCAGAAAATTTTAGACAAGTACATTCCTCCAAAGGGCAACTGTAACTTTCAACTATAAAGCTTTCTTGTAAAGCTTTCTTGTAGTTTTAGCTTCTGTGTTAAACATGGTCATTCAACAGGGCACATACAGAAGACGGAAAAATTACAACTTAAACAGATCAAAGAGAATTTATTTATAAAACCAACAGCCCCAAACAATCATAACCCTATCAAAATAGTCTACTTTATTGGCCAAAGGGTCATTTTTCTTTTTCTTTTTAATCTTTTTTAAATGTTTATTTATTTTTGAGAGAGAGACAGAGCATGAGCAGGAGGGGGCAGAGAGAAAGAGGGAGACACAGAATCTAAAGCAGGCTCCAGGCTCTGAGCTGTCAACACACAGCAGGACACAGGGCCTGAACTCATGAACCACGAGATCATGACCTGAGCTGAAGTCAGACACTTAATCAACTGAGCCACCCAGGTGCCCCTCATTTTTCTAATATTTTATTAATTATTTTATAGGTTCCAGTACCCTGTGTCATCTAAAGTTAAATGATGTCCCTATCAATTACAGTAAGCAGTAAACAAAATAATCCAGCAAGTTAACTGCCAGCCCATTTGTTTCTATGAAAGTGCAATTGATGAAAAGAAAGTTCTTTTTTTTTTTTTTTTTAAATTTTTTTTAACATTTATTTATTTTTGAGACAGAGAGAGACAGAGCATGAACAGGGGGAGGGCCAGAGAGAGAGGGAGACACAGAATCTGAAGCAGGCTCCAGGCTCTGAGCTGTCAGCACAGAGCCTGATGCGGGGCTCGAACTCACGGACCGTGAGATCGTGACCTGAGCAAAGTCGGACGCTCAACCGACTGAGCCACCCAGGCGCCCCAAGAAAGTTCTTTTTATGCAAGGTGAGACTGTGTCTGGAAATAAAATAGACCTGAGAGGCAGCTAAAACACCACTTACTGACGCCTAAGTATTTGGTTAAAGTTAAACATGATGATTAATGAAATCAAGAGTAGGAACTGAAAAGGAGACTATATTCTCTCCACAAAGAAGCTGCTGGACACCGAAACAATAATAGTCTAAGTGCTTTTATTTCGGTCCACAGGCATGTTATTGCTATTTAGAAACATAAAGGGAATATAAGATCACCCCACGTGTAGTTAACAGAGGTAAAGGATAAAAGAAATCATCATAACACAACTTGTCTCTTATAAAGGAAAAATTTCAATTAACACCACTTTAAGGCTCTTAAGCTTCTTTTCATCTTTCTAGAGCTTTGACTCTATTCATGAATGTCTTTCATCTCATTTGCCTTACTTTGACTGATGGCATTGAAGAGCTTTCTTAAAAGCATATGGTGACATTACATCCACTCAATTTGCTGATGGAGAAAAAGGGTGCTTTTCTGTTTGTTAGAGAATTTGACATAGAATGAATTACCCACGTAAATACAAATAAACATCCACTACAACTGATATTGGGGAGACAGCCTAGCCCCTAAATCTTCAAGGGCAATATACTGGGAACAATTCAATGTATCCGACTTCCTATAAACTTCAAATTCCTATTTTGTCACGAAGTGAGCTACATGATGACAGCTGGTACGCCTCTGCTTAGAACATTGTGCCTGTTGTCCCACTGCAGGGAGGTCCAACCTAAAGGTCACGAGGGGCCTAAGAGAGACAGAGCTTCCTTTTGAAGCTTAGAACATCTTAGACCTCCTATGGCTTGGCCATTCTGTCTCTGGCCTCCACATCACTGATGGTTCCTTGATGAGGAAGCACCAGACTCTTTCATCTTCTTTACTTGGCTAGTGATCTGTGTATTACTTGTTTTGGAGTGCTTTGGGACATCCGTATCCAAAATTGTGGCAGGATGAGTTTGTTAGTTTAGACTCTAAAGGCTCGTGCTTTGGCTTTCCATGAACCTGATTATCTAGAGCTTTGCTCAACCTACAAAGATACATATGTTATATATAATATATATATATTTGAATATATGTATATATTTTAATAGCAAAAGATCAACAGAAAGACTCATTGCAGAAGGAATTTTAAGGAGAACCATAAAAGGCAAAAGAACAGTTACTTCATATAGAATAGGATATTTTTCAGTGGAGAAAGATCTTGAGAAAATGATACAAGTATCGAGAAAATAATAATTACAGTAATAGTCTTAACATTTACTGAGCTCTATTGGACTCGTCTCTATGCTCTCCACAGATTATCCCATTCAATATTCATAATGGCCTTTAAGGTGGTCACAACTAACATCCACATTTAAGGATGAGGTGAAGAGGGGTGCCAGGTCGGCTCAGTCAGGTAAGTGCCCAACTCTTGATTTTGGCTTAGGTTGTGATCTCATGGTTTGTGAGTTTGAGCCCTGCGTTGGGCTCTGCGCTGACAGCATGGAGCCTCCTTGGGATGTTCTCTCTCCCTCTCTTTCTGCCCCTCTCCCACTCTCTCTCTGTCTTAAGATAAATAATAAACTTAAAAAAATAAATAAAGATGAAGCAAAGATGTTTAGAGAAGTCAAGTAGCTTGTGTAAGGCCCACAGTTAGGAACTGAAATTCTCTGCTGAACCACACCAAGTGAAATTTTGGTGTGACATTTTAAGTGACATTGCTGGGTCTGGAACCCAAATCTGTGGTGGTACAACAGTGGGCCAGAATTCCCAACCAGCCCTTGAAACTAACATTATGAAAAGAAGACCTAAGGAAAGCTAGAGTAAGATCTCAGAAAAGGGATACAAATAATTTGAATTGAATTAAGATGATATCTTTGTCCACAGACACAGGATCAAAAGCAGGGAAAGGAAAGGAAAAGGTTCTGTAATGATTCTGTAATGTTGCCACTTGGGTAGAGCAATCAAGGAACACAATGATACATCTAAGAGAGCCACCAAGCATGGCTTCAAGTTAATCACTACACACTTCCATCATTAACCCTTCCATGTTGCTGAATAAATTTAGATTCTAGTTAATATATAATTAATATTATTATTTACATGCAAAGCCAATGCCATTGCACCACTACCATCCTTGAAATGTGCACCTGGTACTGGTTCTTGAAGAGATTGTCCTAAACTTATTCTCTTACCTGTCTATCTTAAACAATTAGAGCATTTACTTATTTGCAGCTTCCGAAGAGAAGGGTTGGAATTCGTGTACTTGAATACGATTAAAAAAATCAACTGACACTGAATTTCATATTTTGTATTACTACTAAGGAAAAACAACTAATTTTCTGTATGTTGTTCGAGTAATGATTTGGTCTACTGCCATGGATACATCGTGGGAAAAGGAAAAACACTCAGCAATTGTACTGTTTGCCCCTAGAATAACCTTTCTTCAGACTAGTTAATATCAAGGACATGTGATGACCATGTCAGAGCAATCGACCTTCTCCTCCCTCATATCTCAAAGTGACTCACCCAAGATGCCAGAGTAAGATTAGAAAAATATTTATTGCTCTGTTGAATGTGGATGGAAGAGTTCTCTTTGTTGGTAGGGTTACTATAATTATTTTTTTACCTTATGATAGTGTTTAGAAGCTAGGCAGAGAGGGTGCTACTCACGTTCTCCTTGTCAGGAATCCCTAGAAGAAAGAGAGAGAAAGAGAGAGAGAAAGAGAGAGAGCATGAATTGTAAGACGAATCTGTAAAATGGAACTGAAATTCTTTGCTGAATCAAACCAAGTAAAATTTTGGTGGTTCCAATTTGTGTTTCCATCAAAACTTACATCGTGCTGCTTAGAAAAACAGCAGCACCCACCAAACTCTGTAACATACATAAATCAATGAATCAGGAGCGGGGCTGTGTGCCAAACAACAAAATCTCATAAAAATCACAGGTAAAAATCCATCTCTGATTCATTTATACTATACAAACAACTAATTCCTCTGTGTTAGGTACCAGAACACTCAGAATCTGGGACAGACATGTCAACTCTCAAGGTTGCACATACTGTATTTTTACTTTTCAAACTAACTCACAATGCTCCAAGGATTTCAACCTAGCTTCAAGTCCTACATAAAAACTACAGAACACAACTTCCATTTGGGGCAAAGCAAATTCCTGCTGCCTCCAAGTCAGGTCTGAGCATGGCAGTGTCTGTTTCCAGGGGTAACCCAGTTTTCTCAGTGAAAAAGTTAATCATCCATCCATTTACACATTTGTTCATTCATTTACAAGCATTTCATGAGCCACAGGCAGGCCCTGGTCCTTTGCACTTCCTTTGGGGCTGTTAACACTGGCTCATATGATAAGGGTAGCCAGACTGGAAGGTCCACAGCCCCAGCAGAGCTTAATGCTTCCAAGTGGCTTTATACTGGGAGATGGAACCACAGGTGGTTTGTATGTGTGGCTTGCCCCTGGGCCAGTCTGAGGTGGTCTGCGATGTAAAAATACAGTACATCCAAATTCTGAGTAAACAGCACATTCTATGTTTAATAAAGGAGTGCACAGGGTTTACACAATTGGCTTTAAAAGAACTGAGTGCCCACTTTAATAGGCAGCAGCAGGAGCGCCTGGGTGGCTCAGTCAGTTGAGCACCTGACTCTTGCTTTCAGCTCAGGTCATGATCCCAGAGTCATGGGATCGAGCCCCATATTGGGCTTCGCAGAGACCATGGAGCCTGCTTAGGATTCTCTCCCTCCCTCTCTCCCTCTCTCCCTCTTTCTCTCTCTCCCTCTCTCTCCCTGCTCTGTCCCTCTCCCCTGCTCGCACATGTACTCTCTCTCTAAAAATTAAAAAAATTTAATAGGTAGCAGTAAAGTACACAGAATGGGTAAGGGTGGAAGAGACATTCTGGAAACGCTCCCTAACTAAACTTTGAGCCCCCAAACTGAGATAGTACCAGGACATCAAAGCCCAGGCAGGAGCAGGGGGACAGAGAGAGTATTAAGGGGCATGTTTGCCATCAGTTCCCAAGTCTGTCAGAATGAGTAAGGGTGGCCTAATGTCAGCACTTTGAAACTTTGAATCCCAGCCATCCATTCATTATTCCATCCATGTGTTCAACAACCCTTTGAAAAGACTGGAGTTGATTGTATGAGGAGATACAGGGGTATTACAGAAACTTCCTTTCTAGGAGTTTCAATAAGATACACAGTTGCACAAATCACCCTATCTGAGTGACTAGAAATTAGGGTATCTGTAGAGAAATAATACTGAAAAGATGATTTGGGGCCATGCAGAAACTTGAAAGTTGGGCTAAGACATGAGGAATCTTGGAATTTGACCTTCTGCGGCAAGCGGTGGGCAATCATTAAAATGTTTCAAGGGGCTCCTGGGTGGCTCAGTCGGTGAAGCATCCGACTTCAGCTCAGGTCATGATCTCACGGTTTGTGGGTCTGAGGCCCACGTCGGGCTCTGCGCTAACAGCTCAGAGCCTGGAGCCTGCTTTGGATTCTGTGTCTCCCTCTCTCCCTCTCTGCTCCTCCCCAACTATGCTCTTTCTCTCTCAAACATTAAAAAAGTGTTTTGAACAGAGGAAAAAGGAGGGAAGGGTCTGGTCAAACTGAAAAGACACTCACAACATAAAAATCAGATGCAAGAGCGTGGTCCTTGAAGTCCAATTTGAGCAAAGAACTATAAAGACATTCAGTGGGAAAAATCTGAATATGAACTCAGCAGATGATGTTATTAAGGAAAGTCATACCAGTTATTAGGTGTGATAATGGTGTTGTAGTTGTGCATGGAAAAGTCTTTATTTTCAAAAATACCTGCCAAAGAATTTGGGGTGAAATGTGTGTATGTGATTAGAAGGAAATAAGGCAAATATTAATATTAAAATATTAAAGTGTATATAGCAATTAATAAACCCATATTTAAGTATTAAAATATTAAAGTGATGAAGATATGGATATTAACTACATCATTCCAAATGTTTGAAATTTTTCACAAGAAAAAGTAAATTTAAAAAGTTCTGTGGAAGTCAGGTGTAAGTCAGGTGTAGGGTAGACCAAGGGCGAGATACTGAACTTGAGAGTCAGTTGAGTCGTTCTTGCCCTCAGATCAAAAATGATGAGGCCCTTGGCCAGGTGGCTGCAGAGGGAACAGAAAGGAAAAAACATGAACCCTGCAAAGGAAGGAGCAAAGGACAGGATGGGTGATTAACCTCAGTGCATACAGGTGACAGAAGGGAGGACTCCAAAATGGTTGAGGTTCAGAGCCTGGGATGGGAGGAGAACAGGGCAGATGGGAATGGAAATGTGGCTTTCAGGACAAGGGATGGGTTTTGTGGGAATCGCGATGTGTTCTGTTACTGACACTGTGACATTAAGAGGCCAGCAGAACATCCAGGTGGAAAGGGAACCAGCAGTCGTTTGGAAAGCTAGGCCACCACAGAAACAATCAAGCAGAGATATTGGCTCGGGAAGTCTGTATCCACTGTAAGAAATGATGGTCATGGGGAAAGTATAGAGAACAAAAGAGAAAAACAGTCAAGGGTGGACTCTTGGGTGGGACCCAAACTTCTAGCTGAGAGGAAGAAGTACCTGTGAAAGAGACAAGATGCTAAGTGGCCAGCACGATACCAGAAAACCAGGATGATGTGGTGGAGCCTGGGGACCGAGGGAGAATGGAATCTGAACAGGGAAAGTCTTACTCAAAGTCAGAGCGATGGGGAATGTTAATGATGGAGTCTGGTGTTGGCTGGTCGCTGGAGATTTTAGATGGTTTGAGTCCAGAGGTGTGTGGCAGAAGCCAGAATCTAGGGGCTGAAGAGTGACTGTGGGTGAGGAAACAATAGCTCACATCACTTGGGTGCTTACTCTATGCCTGGCACCCGCTAAACACCTGATGTGTTTTGCTTCCTTTAATCCTCCCAGCAATCTTGTGAGGAAACTGAGGCACAGAGAGGTTAAGTGCCTTGCCTGAGGTCACACAGATAGGAGACAGCACAGCTAGGATTTCAACTGGAGGACTCCTCATGAGCCAGTCATCCTTACCTCAGCCAGGAAAGAAAAATCAAGCACAGGGAGGAAAGGAAAGGAAAGAGAGACCTTGTCTTCCTGCTCGCTCCCCACCCCAAGGACAAAAGAGAAACAGAGACAGGGCAGAGGCTACACAGGAACTATGACATGGAGGGCTACGAGTGTGAGGAAGTTCCCTTACGATCTTGGTCAAGCGGGGAGGGGGATCACCTGAGAGTGACAAGACTGGCAGTCAGTGGGGACTGGAGGAGCAACAGAGAGGATTTGAAGGGTGACTATCGCTCAGAAGACCCTGGTGTGGGGGGCGCCTGGGCCGCTCAGTCGGTCAAGTGTCCGGCTTTTGATCCCAGCTCAGGTCTTGATTTCAGGGTCTTAAGTTCAAGCCCCCCGTTGGGCTCTGCACTGGGTGTGTGAAGCCTACTTCAACAATAACAACAACAACAACAACAACAACAACAACAACAACAACAACAAAGAAGACTGCGGCGTGTTGGCTCTGCCTGGTTCATTTCGCTGTCTAGCTGTTGAAGTACCACAGCTCCAAAAACCTCAGCCCTGGCCACCTTGCCACCCGTACAGGTTCAAGGGCTGTTCGAATAAGGGGACTCGGCAACGAGCAACTCCCAGAGCCAGTAACAAGCGCTCAAGACGTGCTCCCGATACACGGGAACAGACAGACTCAGGACTTCTTTGAGTCTAGTGGACACTCATGAGAAGAAAGTACCACAGAGAAAAACTTCCTGTTTTTTGTGATCAGCCAGAGACTGGTCGCATCAAAGGCCTGGAATTTAAAGAGGCCGTGATTTACAAAGAATAAATAATGACTCACGCTGCTTCTCTCCTTGACCAAGAGCATCAAAACAAAAAGAGGTGGGGCTCTCAGGTGTCTAGATGTGGCTGAGACAAACACAATTCATAAATCCCGTTTTACAAAGAGCACAGAAACACTAGAATTCACCAGAAAATGAAGAGATTTTGGGAAAGCGTTTGAAGTATGAAGTTCCATCTGGTACCAAAGCACACCTCCTTCTAGCAGGTCAGACCACAAAATAATACTATATTAACAGTTTTTAAAAATGACTCAAGTGTAGGCTGGCAAGTCTGTTTAGCCACACAAGAGTCTGATGACTTACTCTGTCACGCTGGTGTAGGACATATTTTTTGTCACATAAAAACGCGTAATGCACAACGGACTTTTAGAGGCAAAATGTTCACATTTTTCACTTACTGTCATTGTTAGAGCCCGTTTCCATAACACCATAAGGAGGAGCCAGCAGTCCTGCCATGTACTGTCGATATTTCTGAAAGACAAAATTGTCAACTCAATGCACAGATATTGACTCACGTGGGGCATTCATTTATTTACACAATAAAAAGCAGAAATGTTGGGTGTCAGGAAGCATCTGACTCGAGTATTTACAGAGCCATGAAACGTGCTGTCTGGGATCCGTGGTCTAAAATAAAGATGCTGTGTTATAAGAGGTCTTCCTGGATGAGACAGAAAGTGCCCCCTGCCCCCGCCCAGGCAGGGGTGCCATCCCAGCCAGTTCATTTAAGTGCTCGTTACTGACTAACCCAACTACATGGGCTTCTACCCTCCCTCCACCTCTTGCCCTGCTTCTCACTCCAGCAAACACATGCTTGGGTTTTTGTGGAAGGCACAGACACTTGGTTTTCATAGAGGCAGATACAAATAATTGTGCTGCCTTCTTAATAGGTGAATGGTACTGAATCAGCTTTCTTTCAAAGTAAAAAGAAACGCATCTCTGGAAAACGTCAGTTTTGAAAGAAGCTGATTCGTTTCCATTTACCTGCTTCTTTTACTCTGTACACCTGCCCGTTACGTGACCCCTACAGAACTTTCGGTATGTTGTCAAATAGATGGTTTGACTTCATTTAGGACTATTTGGATTCCTCTGAATTGAATCCCCTGGCTTTTGGGCCAGGCATGCCTTAAAACCTGGGGCTCAGTGACATCGATGAGCCCCCAGAGTCTGTGCTGTTTTGAAGGAATAAGGCTTGGTGAGCAGAAAGCCTTTTAGACCATCCACTGAGAGAGGGATGACGTTTACAAAGAATGGAAAATAGACATTAGACATCCTGTCTTCTCAGGTAATAAATACAGCCTCCTCCCCTCTCAGAATGAAAGCCAGGCAATTTTATTTATTGCATGGTGTCATGTATATTTATGGTTTATAATTATGATGACACATAAGTGTTAAATGGTATCAAAAGAATCAACACTCTATAATGTGTTTGTGGGTTACACAGACGTCAGCAGAAAAGCCTTCATCTGTAGCAATGGGCAGCTGGCGACATGCAGTGTTTGAGCAACCATCTGGCCCATTTGGTAGATGTGAATGGTGTTTGTAATGTAACATTGATGATTTCTCAAAAGAGCCTTCTTCTAGTCAAGATGTGACTAGCTTTTTTTCTTTTTTTTAATCCTTTTTTCTTCTCACTCTGAAGCAACTATACTAACACCTGCATGCAAACATTAAAAATCACGATTTTCCCTGCCTCTGAGTTAACTAATCACTCAAACATACCCACAGGACTAATCTATCACCCTGAATTCCTGACATTTCCTTTGATAGCTTCTCAGTTCTGATTCTCTTCTTTCTTATGACACCATCCACTCTTCTTCCTCCTGAGAGAGCACTGATTAAACACATTTCTGGGCATGATATTATGCTGGACTCTGAACAAAACAGGCTCACAGAGAGCAGATGGGGACTGGTATATGTTCTGAGAAGGTTTTGTGACCCCCCCCCACCCACAGCCTTTTGAGTTCTTCTTATTGTTAGCAACTCCTTACCAGGCTCTTAAAAGAAATAATCCATGTTAAGTTAAAGGAGCAATCTGCTTTGCTTATAAATGTTGTTTCGGATGCAGCGGATGTTCTTTGTCTCAGGCACCTCTATGCCCGTTCCCATGAGCTCCACGGAAGCACCCCCTGACCCCTAAGTGAACAGGCCTTTGCCTTCTTTCAGCTCCATAGCACTTGGTCTGTTGCTTGTTCGTTCATGGAGCACATCATTATGGCTGTTGCTCCTGGTAACAGAAAATAGAGCAACCCTCTGGAGAGCAGAAGGTGGGCTAATTTTCAGGACATGCATGCATTAAACACCTACTATGTGCAGACAATGTCCCAGGCACTGGGCTTCCTGCAGAAAATAAGCAGATGGGCCCTTTGCACTTATGAAGTGTCTATCTCCTGCAACATAGAGCACCATGGCTTACGCCTAATATGAACTAAACACTTATCTGTCGAATTTTAGAAATTTTATGGAGAATTTCAAACATATATAAAAACAGAATAACACATACCTAACATCTAGCCTCAATAATTATTAACTCATGACCAATGTTGTTTCCTCTACACTCCTATCCACCCGCCCTTTCCAGAATTATTTTGAAGCAAATCCCAGATATCCTATCATTTGATCCATAAATATTTCAGATACATCAAACAAAACTACAATGTCACTATCACAACTAAGAAATGTAACATTTCCATAATATCCGTTTGATGTTCAAATTTATGTTTCATAAATGTCATTGCTGAATTGAATTTATAAAGTACTTTAATAAGACAACATCAGTCTTAGCAGAACAACTTTTGGCATAGTGGAGATTGCAAAAACAGGGTTGAAATATTAATACCTACACATAAGAAGCCAGCCTTTCAAAATTGATGGGACACTTTTTAGAAAACATCTGCATAATCAGGGAAATTGATTTCTTGTGTAGCACAGTGCAGAGCACTCTATACCAATCAGGATAAAAACAGCTCACGGAAATAAAACCTGTGTCAGAAAATTGGGACTCCTAAATGATTTACATATAATCTGCATACAGCTTGGTCTTCGGGCAGCATGTCATCTTCCAAGCACCACTTAAAAAACAGTCTACAAAAGAACCTGTCGTCTGAAAAGATGCTGAACCTCATTCACGACAGAAAGGCACATTAAAACTACAGAGTGCCATGTCCTTTTTTACTTGTCAGACTTGGCAAAGCTTCAAAAAATTTACTAACGTACAATTGGTGATCTCAGACATTGCTTACGGGAATGTAAAATGATGCAACCTCAGAGGAAGGCAGTTTGGAAGCATCCATCACATTTAAAAATCTGTATTTCCTTTGAGGAAAGACCCTCCCTTAGAGGGCAGAAATAGGACCTCCTGAAATACCTGAATACATAGGCAGACAGGCATATCTGTTGGTAATAGCAGACAAAATAACAGCCTCAAACAGAAAATAACTAAGATGTCCACAAGTAGATGGCACCTGGGCTACTTCCTGATAAGTAAAGATGGGTTATTTCCTGATGAATAGATGATGTTGGAATATTATGCAGCCATGAATGAAGCAGCACTACCTGCTGATATAGAATAGTCTCCAGGGGTGCACGGGGGGCTCAGTCGGTTAAGCGTCTGACTTCAGCTCAGGTCATGATTTCAGAGTTCGTGAGTTCGGGCCCCGCGTCGGGCTCTGCGCCGACAGCTCGGAGCCTGGATCCTGCTTTGGATTCTGTGTCTCCCTCTCTTGCTGCCCTTCCCTTGCTCACGCTCTGTCTCTCTCCCTCTCAAAAAATAAACATTAAAAAAAAAAAATGGTCTCCACAGCACTGTACGCTATCATTTTGTGAGGATAATACATGTGCATATGTGAATATTTATAAGGATTTGTAAATACATAGCCTATCTCTGGACACATACACAAGAAAGTAGTATGAACGACTGCCTCTGGGAAAGAGATCCTAGTGGCTGAAGGTCACATGGGAGAGGGACTTAGTTTTCCCTGTTCATCACCCACTGTGGCTGTCTGCCTGGGGCCAGACTGGCGGCGCTGGCTTGCAGTGGCATACAGAAAGGGATAACGACGGCAGTGGAATGAGCAGACAGCCCTTCTCTCTTAAACATGTGGAGTTGGGAATAATTCGCTTTGACTATAAAATCTTTCAGAGTGGGGAAATGGAGGATTCCCCAGGGTGCGGAAATGGGCTACCTTTTATCGCACTTATTGGTGCTCAAGTGATGAATTGAAAAACGAGAGATGAATGGATTAGTAAACCTAGATTGTGGGGTGGTTGGTCTCTTCACAGACGTTTGAAGCCATGCCACGCTTTCTGAGTAACAGACTGAAACTGAAGGGAATTCACCAAGACTCCCATATGAAAGTCAGCACAAGGTCAGCTTTAACCTGAGTCAGCAGCCTTCCAGAGGTGACCCAGCACCTCTGGAACATGGTGTCTATGGTGTTTACTCAACGTCACTCCCACATGCCTCCCACACCCTGGCTGCTGGGGGTGTGCAGTGGCCCAGTTCAGTCCCTTGACAATGTCCTCCTGGGGCCCCGGTTGACCTCTCCCTGCAAAACTTTTCCCTGGACCCCAACACATTCTAACACATCAATAATTGATTTTATTTTATTTTTTTAGGCTTCCACCATCACTCAATCATTTTAAAATCACCACATGCACCTGGGAAAGAGCTATACCTTTAACTGCCACAGACACAGATCCTCACTGTGTAAGGGCCCTAGCTGGAGGATTGTTCAACAGGTCCCACTCCCTAGCCCTGCATGAACTCTGAGGGCAGTTAGGAAATCAGTTATTCACATGACAAGAGAACCACAAGGGTCTTCCAGGGTCTTAGAAGAATTCGGTAGGACTCGTTCTTAGGATCTGCTCCTGGCTTTGTCACTAGTCATCTGGGTCAATCTGACAAGTCTTCTGAGCTCTCTGACTTCAATATCGTCCATAAAGTGGGTGCTCTAAATTAGATCAAGGGTTCCTTGGGAAGAACTCTGGTGGGTTGGAGGACCCTCAGGCAAGGGTACCATGCAAACAAAACCTCAGCCCCTATGGCAACTAGAGTGCCTTCCCTTGTAACTGTTTTATAAATTAGAGTTTGAAAAGCAATTTCATCTGAAAGATGACTTTCGCTTCTAAAAAATAAAAGTTTACAAATCACAAGACTAATCCCTGAACTTCCAGCCAGAGATGTCACTCAAAGATCTCTATAAAGAATCAACAAAGACCAATTTAGGATTTGTCTACGAGGTATTAAGGATTCTACCCTCTGTTAGGAAGACTCCTATGGTTGAGAATTGGCCGAGTGACAGGTTGCTCTGTACCTGAAAGGTTTATCAACAAAATTGGTACTGAGAATTTAACAGAGATGCACCACAGTGCATTGTGGGCCATCTCAAAAGGTGTACAGAGCCCTGGAATGGAACACAGCAGGGCAAAAGGGGGTGCGAGAGGGGTTAACAGAAGCTCTTCCTGGAGCTTACATT